TGCCTCTTCTGAACCAGACACGTCAAACTCCTCTGATCCTTCTCTCTTCTGCGTCAAATCTGATTCTTCTCCGCCGCCTACTCCGCTTGTGGCAGCCTATCGTGATTGGAGGAGATTTTTCTGAACGTGATGGCCTTGCTTAGAAGACCCAAACCCACCTTGCTGTCCTTGCGCCCCATCACTGAAATCGCACTCCCCGAGTAAGTTTTAGGAATAGCCTAGGTTTTTTTTTTTTTTAGTTAATTACACGGTTTTGGTTGGCCTGTCCACTTTCTCCACTGATCCTCAACCGCATTGCAGCTCACACCACCTTATTCTTCCGTTTTGGGTAATGGTTGGCATAGTGCCGTTGCATTCTGGGCTTATTTCTCCGAAGGGTAGAACTTTGCGCAGATATCATGCATTTATTTCAATGGCCCATCCGAATGGCAAGAGAAGACTTCTTGAGAACATTCCTTGTCCCCGACGGCCCAAGCAACTACCAGAATTTGGTGTTAACTTGTTCCTGAAGAAGAGTAGCACCATCTCAGAACCTGTTCAGGAGGATTTGAGCTTCAATAAAGGATTCAATATGGCTAACGAAGAGAAAGAAGATACTCGCGTTGATTGGGAAGCAGATGAGATTGAAGCCATTTGATCGCTTTTTGAGGGTAGATTTCCTCAAAAACCTGGAAAACTAAATAGAGAAAGGCCTCTTCCTCTCCCACTTGCGCACATAGTTCGACCTTTTGGACTGCCTACACCTAAAACACGGGTCAGATTGACAGATCCAGCTGTAGTTTCTCATCGTGCATCCATAGCCAAGAAGTTGTTCAAAGACCCTGGTTTCTTAGTTGAGCTAGCTCGAGATATCAGCGAACTTGATCCAGACAAAGATGTATCCATAGTTGTTGGCAAGAGAGCGCAGTTCCTGTGTAAGGGTTCCCTGTCCTTGACAATAAGGGAGTTACGTCAAATGGGATGTCCTGGGAGAGCCTTGCAAACATTTTGCTGGGCTCAAAAACAACCTGAACCCCAGATGATCGAATTCTAGCTTCAACGATCGAGGTCCTGCCTAGGAACCTTGAACTTGAAGTTCCTTTCAACCTTGGAAAATTTACCCGGGTGACGAGCCGTGCTGTACTGGAGGCGATGGTTAGGGGTTTTATTAAAGGAGGAAGCCTTAAGCTCGCCTGGAAGCTTCTAGTAGTTGCCAGAAAAAGTAAACGAATGTTTGAGCAAGTGATGCCCTTATTAGATAAACTAGGGGAACGAGAAGAGCCGAATTTGAGCCAGCAAGATTGTATAGCTATCATGAAAGTGTACACAAAGATGGGGAAATCTGATGTAGTGGAGAGTCTGTTCGTTTGGTTCAGATAGTCAGGCCGTGATCCGAGCATAGTGATGTTTGCTACTGTGATTCACAGCCGTTACAAAGAGAGGAGATACAGGGAGGCATTTGGCATTGGTTTGGAGATGGAGGCTTCAAATTGTCTCTTGGACCTTCCAGCTTATCGTGTGGCAATAAGGCTGTTTGTTGCTTTGAATGACCTATCCAGAGCTGTGAGATATTTTTCTAAACTTAAAGAAGCGGGATTTTCTCCTACTTGGGACATATACAAGGACTTGCTTCAAATTTACTTGGTGGCCGGGAGGAAGGCAAAGTGCAGAGATATTTGCAGGGAGGCCGATATTGCGGGATTCAAGTTGGATGAGCATGTACTCTCACAGAATTTGAAATTTGATGGCTCAAACAAACTGGAAGCTTTACGAATCTCACAAGCATTCAATTCTGAATCTCTCCTATACTAACTAATATTGTTGGAGTGATTATGATAAATCATATTCTGTTGCACATTCCCCACACAATCTCGCAGAGGAAAGGACAAAGCTTTTTTCAATTGGGAAAAATTACTGTTAGATCCAAAATATCGATCTAATATTTTTTTTAAAAAAATAAATTAATATAAAATTAATTTTTAGGTTAAATTAATTGGAATCATTTTCTAATTATTTTTTAAAATTGATATAAGATTAATTTTTGGCTTGAACCATTTTCCAATTTTATTTTGAAGGCAGCTTTAAATTTAATTGATTTTAATGGTATAATAATTATAATTACATAAAAATATCATGTGCATAGCAAATTATTTTATTTAAAGTTAGTGGCAAATATTATTCAAATATTTGTAATTTTTAATTTGGGATTAGTCTGAGGTGTGGTTTGTATATGTCAACGGTACTAGCAAGTTTATTTTAAAAATTATTTTCACTAAATAACACTTTACCTTCTAACTAATTATTAAGTAACATTATTTACTTAAATAGTTTTTTATTGATAAAAAAAAATTTAAGTGAATTGAGTCTTGGAGGCATAAGACACGTGGTTTTATATAGAGTGTTGGGATTGTACAATTCCCTCCTTGCTATATTTGGGAGTAATCAGCGCCTCCCATTCCATAGGCGAGCAGACTATGAAACTCTAGATTTAGCCATACACCACTTCTACATAGAAATGGTAGGAGCAACATTTGCGGTGATCGGAGGAGATGGTGGTTAAGAATTTGTCACCAAAACATCGGTCAACGATTGGAGGAAGGTACTATGGCAGACACTGCAGATGGATTGTTAGGATACACAATGACAAAATTGCTGGAAGGTATTGTGATGAAAGTGATGTCACCTAAAGTTCTTCTACAGAGGATCTTGCTGATTATTCGAAGGTACTGGCACCAAGCGGGATTGAAGAGTTGTGATTAGAAAAGATGAGCACCATGAATCCTAAAAGAGGGTGAGAACAGAGAGATTACAAATGAATATGAAGGGGAATTGAGAAGAAGCAAAGAATGAGAAAGGGACTTACCAGAACAGTAGAGAAGGGGGAAGGAGAAGAGGGTTGGCCATGGTGATGGGAGTGAGGTGTAGAAGGAGAGAGATGAAGGGAGATGATGAATGCAAGCCCCACCATCAAAAGTAGATGGACGCTACTCACATGGATAGAAAGGTGCCGGGAGCTTCATTTTTTATAGTTTATGATTTATTTTACACCATCCTATAATATAAGCTGCCGAACACTTCTTGAGAAATAATTTATGATTAAATTTGCATCTTTACCTTTTTTTAAAATATGTATTATATACGGTTTTAAAAAATAAATCAGACTAGTCATAACCTATGATCAATACATTGTCAATATTGCTACAACAACAAGAAGAAGAAAAGTAAGCTTTGTCCCATTAGATGAGGTTAGTTATATAAATTATACGATGTCATTATATTCTATCATCAACTAAACTTTTAAAAATATTATTAATTAATAAGTCTCGTCCAACAACTTTCAAAAATATTCTTAGTTAGTGATAGTTAAATTAAATTTTTTTATTATGAAGATTAATGCCATTGGCAAAAAATAGAGTGAGCTTATACCTGCCCTTTAATTGAATAACTTTTTTTTATATGAAGTCAAATGCGCGCGCGCGCGCACAAACGTGTGTTTAACTAAAAGCAATATTTTCGGAAGCTGAGGGGGAAAACTAAAGACATAAAAGAACAGGTCTTCTTGAGCTACATTAAAAAAAAAAAATTGTCTGAATTAAATGGAGTAGTGAAGCTTGGATATCAAAAATGACAGCATAGGATGTTGGTTTCCATGATGATCCAGAGCATAAGAAATCCCTACAGGTGCATTTGATTTGCACACTATAATCATGACAATGAGTAGCGTCCACCAGAGAGCAGATCTCAAACATAAAAAGGAGAAAACATTAGTATCTTGAGACATCTTTTGAATCACCAAGCCATTCATGAAATCTGAATTATGACAGATAACCACATGACAGAATAATTGCTTTTCTTTTTTATATTTGTGCATCCAGATAGACCAGACATCAGTAGATTGCAGTTGAGACGAGTGAGGGGTCCTAGAATTGAACTTCAAATTTGAATCCATTGACCAGTCACAAATATTTTGTAAGCGGGCGGCATTGACTTTGAAATCTCTCAACATCATCTCTGAATCTGGCATTAGACCATGAAAAATAACATTGTTCCGATGAAGCAAAATCTGGTTGAGGAGAGTTAAGATATGTTTCAAAACCTCAATATGATTGTCTTGTCTCTGTACAGAAGACAAAAAAAAAAAAAAAAAAATCTGAAGCAACCATCTTTCAATGCTAGATTCATAGAAAAAGGTAGATCAAACAGATAAACCTCCAAACTAAGTATTCCTATTACTGAAAGTAAGAAGTTCAAAGCCTTTTTTGACCAAGTATTTCACCTGTAGCTGTGCCAGAACCTGACCAAACTATATTGTCACGAGATTGAGTAATAGACAATGGAATTTTCAAAATTAATTCAGAAACGCGACGATCATATAGGGAGGATATAATAAACTGCTTGATCCATTCTTTCCCAGACCATCCCCGAACATGTTGCAGAACAAGATCCTTGACTGTGATGTTCGAAGTATCAATGATGGTTTGATTAGCTATGAGAGAAGGAGAATTCGGTTTGCGCCATAATGGATAATGAAGAGGGACGTTATGACCCGAACCCAACTGCCAAGATAGTTTGGCTAAAATGAGATTAACAGAGAAGCATATTCCCTTCCACATCTGTGATGAGTTGTAAGGTTTCTTGATAATGAATGAGCATATTCTTAGTCAATAGATTATGAAAGCAATGAACAGAATTCTTATTATTTCCTTTGTAATTTCAAGTGAAAAAAGAAACTCTTGAGACAAAAACAACCACACCTCTAATTAATTCCCTACCGTATGTCATATATTCTCCATCACTATATACAGTAAGACAAGCAAGCAACCACATATAAGCAATGAACTATATATTGGAGTTTTATATGATGATATATTATTTTTCATTATAATTGTTTTTTCAGCCGGTAAATTGCATTTCAAACTGATTTTTCTTTGTTTTTTTTCCAATAATATCTTTTGAGTTGCTATGTATTTACCAATTTGGTTGCAGTGCAAAGTATAACCTTTCGAGCTATGGATCACAAATAGCTGAAATCCTTTGAGTTTGAATTCATAATCTAATTTAGTTCTGGTCATTTGCAAATTTCTATATCTTATGGGCCAAACTTAATTAACCGTGTGCTTATAAATGAGTCTACTAGAGTAAAGCAAACATACAAACTTACAAAGAATTTGATTTAAGATAAACAATTGGAGCTAGCTAGGTAAGTCTGATCCACACTGATAAAAATTTGTATCAAACAATGTAGTGCTTGATAATATTGTGCTGCTTTCTGCACTTTCAAGGGATTTTTCCAAGGCAAAGCATTGCTTTAGATCATTCACCACATTACTTATATCGGGTCTTTTGATTGCAGTTGATTGAACACAGGACAAGGCAATCTCTAAAAGCTTCTGAGCTGAAGCAATATTGAAATTTCCCTCTAACTTTGGATCTATAATAGATTGGATATCCTCGATCTCAAACTTTGGAGTGACCCAATCAACTATGTGACTTGTGCCTTCAGATGTTTTGTTAATTGCTGATCGACCGCTCATTAGCTCAAGTAGAATTATTCCAAAACTATATACATCACTTTTCTTGTTCAAGTTTCCAAATCTATAGAATCTGTAAATTTTAAAAGATAATTTAGCTATTGAAATTAAGCTCAACAAACAATTTATTACTCATAGCTACATTTCAAAGTTGTGGATTCCCTTGAGTAACATTTACATACATTGAAAGATAACAATATATGCTAGCTATTCCACTAAATTTTACTTCAAGTAGAGGAACATAGAAAATAGAAGAAACCTCTAGTTTAAGAATCAATCAAGAATGTTGAAAAAGAAATGCCAAGAATATATTATTTATGACATACTCAGGGTCAAGGTAACTAAATGTGCCTGCAGGATGAGTTGAAATGTGAGCGTCAGTATCATTAGCAAAAGCTTTGGATAGTTCAAAATTAGCAATCTTGGCTTGCATGTTTTCACTTATCAAAATGTTAGATGATTTTAGATCTCTATGAATTATTGGTGGTTTACAACCATTATGTAGATAGTCAAGTTCTGCATTTTCAACAAGCAAATAATAAATACTTAAGATAAAATAAAGGATAAAGCTAGAATAGAAATTTAAAAAAAAATGGATTGCTAATGTAATGATGGGGAATAAGTTAAATAGTCTACACACCATATGCTGTATCTAATGTGATTTGAAGTCTCCCATTCCACTTTAAAATGTATGGATTTGCAAAACATCATGTTGTGCAAGAAAATTGTAATGCATCCTTGCAGGCATTCTTTGAAACACTCTCAAAACCTTCAGAATTATCAGGAAAATCTACCCAAAAAAAAAAAAAATTTGGCCGCGAAAGCGTTCCCTTATGTGATAATTGTAAAGATATTGGAAAAACAGGACTTAACAAACCTGACAATTGGTGCCGAAGATTTCCCTTTGCCATATATTCATAAATCAATGCCCTCATGTCACCATCATCGCAGTATCCAACAAGAGAAACTAAGTTCCTGTGAAAAACTATGGACAATAGTTTTGCCTGCAATTTGAACCTTACCCTATGAGGATTAAATAGAACAATATATCCATAATACAATAGAAATGTTTCATTACCCATGTCATTAATAAATGATGTTCACTACTAATTAACCTCTGATTCGAACTCTTTAAATCCTTGCTGTGATGACTTTGAAAGCAATTTGACTGCAACTTGTGTACCGTCCTTTAGCCTTCCAAGGTACACTTTTCCAAACCCCCCTTCTCCAATTACTGATTCAAAGTTACTGGTAATACTAAGAATTTCATCCTGACAAAATACTTGATTTTTTGATTTAAGATCGCCAGCTTTCTTGAGCAACAACACTGCAGCAATGCTCACATATTCAAATTTACAACAGCATTAGATTTGTGTAATTGAATTTAACAAGCATCAAAAAACGAGTAATATTTAAAATAAAATATTTAGCATTTTTCACAACAAACTTTCCACCCCCTATGAGATGGACCCACATATAAGAATGTTAAGGAGGGACCTCTTTAAATGAATCATGAAAGAATGAGAAGATTTAGTTAATCAAAGTAGGAGATTGCAGATAAACCCTTAGAAGCGTAGAGTGGTCCTTGGTGACACATTCTGCACCTTTTTGCTTTTTTCTTCTACGTTCGTAGAGTACCAAAGAAATGTAGATTAATATTACAAGAGTTGCCATAGAAGCCGCTACTGAGGCAGCAAGTGGTACAATGAACTTCTTTGTTGTGGTTTTGCTAGAACCTGTTTGACATAGACCTGGATTTCCATCCAAACTTGGAAATTATAGCATCAATATGGAAGTGTCAGTTTAACGTAGGAGTAAATAATTGATGATAGGTACAGTTATTGATATTAGAAAACGTCTGAAATGAATACAACTATTTTAAGCTATACAGCAAACGTGAAGGCAAATGAAAGATGAATGAATAGAACAGTTCTATTGAACATTCTTAATATAACTAAAAATACTGGCCATTCAATATTGAGAAACTGCTTGATGTTAGGAATGAATTTTCAAGATATTTGTATCTATAGAATAAGAAAGTACCTCAACGTCAAACCGGTACTCGACTTCTCCCTCAGAGCCTTCGGAATTGAACCTTTGAGATTATTCCCTGTCAAATTACTTCAAATATATCACGTAAGATAAGTTGCAAGTCAAAGTTTTACTGCTACGCCAAAGCATTTGCAACTTACAGTACTTTCAATTTGGGAAGTTTTGCCAAAAATTGTGGTATTTCTCCTGTCAATTGGTTGTTTGACAAATCTCTTCAAATTAAGACTCATTACTACGTGAAGTTTCCATGTAGCATAGCTCTAGAAAAATGTAAGCTGACTTTACATGGGTGATACTTACAAGGAAGCCAACATCATGAGACTGGAGAAATAAGTAACTATGTCTCCTCCTAATTTGCTTGAGCTCGTGTCCCTATTCATGAATTCCCAAGGATGATTTTTTTTTTTTTGCAGTTATAAATAATACAAGCGAAAAAGAACAGAGGGATTGGGAGTCACAGCTCTTTTTTTGCTAGCTCAATAATATAAACATATATCATTAATTAATGCCATTGCAAAAAGATCACCACTTATACTCACAATGAGATGATCCTTGGGATGCTTTCAGAGTAATTGCAAATTACTCCTTCCCATCTATATTCCTCTGGCGTGCAGGGATCTCCTTGCCAACTGATTCTGAGAATGTTATAGGCATCTTTGATCTTCCACATAGCATCAACTGTATTTCTAACAAGAGTTTCAGGGTTCGCAAACATCATGAAAAAGAAGTGCCCTTTTATTCAATTGGTAGAAAAATACGAAACATTGTAGGAAATTGTTGAAGAAAGAGACTATTTTGGGCTCTAATACATAAAACAAGCCGCTCAGATGATAGACCAACTTCAGAGCATAGACTAAAATGACCCTTCGTTCTTAATTAGTACGTGAAAGGAAAAAAGGATAAGATAACAAAGTAGAAATCAATAAGCACACTTGCCATCTCGTTCATAAGTTGGTGACTTTGGCTGTGGTAGTGCTCTGTAGATCTCATAAACATTGATCATGGGGTGCAAACCAGAACCTGGGGAGGATGTGATTGAAATTGAATAGGATCCTTCCGGAATTGTCGCCTTTATGGTGTGGAGTTGCTTGTAGTTAAGAGTTACGGACTGTCGGATGATATCAGTGAAATTAATTTCCATGCTTCTTTGCTGATTCTGAGGATGCTTCTCGAAGTCAAAAAAATGAAGATGAACAAGATACTCATAGTCATTTCTAGTGGACACGTCAATAACTAAGGGAGAGGAAGCATCCAGTGATGTGATTGCAGTGCTCAACACTTGCTTTTGTAGTTTGTACTCTTTGGAATCATCCTCAATAGCTGTTGGTGTGCTGATTGACTTTGAGTTGTCGATGACTCTATCATTGAACCAAGATCTACCGTAGGGATCATTCGCGTATCTGCATGGTTATTTGAACAAAAGACATGAATGATAATTGGGTATTCATATCTCAATAAAATATTACGAACCTCTTCATCAAGTAATTATTTCACGAAGTTTGAAGGATATGTTATTAGCTGGTTGATCATCCATGATTTCCAAAGCGCAGACTATAGATATATATATATATATATATTATATATATATTCAATAGCATTTAGCTTGTTAACTCGTCCCAATACTAAGTTACATATGATATGATTGATGTACGTAAATAAATCAGACCAATTAATTCTTCTTCCAGTCGATAAGACCTCAATTTCCTTTGCCTACCATGTTTATTTTTTCCATAAAGTTTCCTTATAGTTAGTTATATTCATGTATGTAAGTTACACTGGTAATTTAAATAGGTCAAGTTTAATCAAATCGAGTTTAAAATATCAAACATTAAAAAAAAAATCATAAAACCAAGCTCGACCCAATAACATCTTGGATTTTTTTAAGTTTACTGGGGTTGGCTTGAATATTCAAATTATTAATTATTATTTTATTTCTTCCCCCTTTTAGCCAATTCCAATTTTTATATTAAAAGAATTATCATTTTCAATTTTTAGCTCATTTTAATGTTATATTATTAATAATAAAAAAAAATTGGGCTAACCCCTTCAAGTTTGGGTTTATTTGGATGGGCTGAATACCGTTGAAATAAAAAAAAATTTCTAAACTCTTAAACTCAATCGTAAGATTTTTCAAGATTATTTATACTAGCTTGTTAGGCTTGGCTAGAATTACAGTCTTTAATTAATATAAGTTATGTTAATATTCCAATATAAATTATTAAAAGGGGGGATATTTGAAGAAAACTCGTACAAATTGTTTAGAAATAACTAATTTACCTACGTTTTAATAATTTGAGTGAATTGTGATACATTCAAGTCTGAAAAGAGTAATATATACATATATATATGGGTTAAGGTTAAATGAAATCACCTGATGAAAGTTGCTTTCATACCGAAGTTAAGGCGGTCGCTGAAGTCTAGTGGTGTTGTGGGCTGATATGGAGAATAAGGCAAAGGATAAAGCTCTGACAAGGAGATGAGTGGGATGCCCCGCCCAGTGTTTGCAAGGCACACGTCAATGGTGTCAGCTGGAGCAACATGAATGATCTCATTGTCGACAAAATTTCTGAAACCATCCCAATCCATATGCACCCAATAAGTGACGCCAAGATGCAAATCAAACTCTGGAGCTGAATATTTGTTGTCATAGTTTCCGTATCTGAACATAGCCCTTACGAGATAAGTGTTATTTTTGCCTTATTTGGGTTTGACTTTATAACAGTTCCTTTTTCCTTCTGGAAAGCTTCTCAAGCTGTTCAGTTGCTGCTCAGCCTGGTTGTCTTCATTACTCGTCAAGTTGTACGGAGAGGATATGTTATGTATTTCCCCAAATTTTACAAACCTTGCTCCATCTGCCTCGTAATGAAACTTATTGTCGTCCCAATACTCTTTGGCTACCCCACAATCTATGCGTATCACCTCTGATCCATTATCAATTACAAACCAATCGCATATCTCAGAATTAAATTTGAGTAATTTGACGAAGTATGAAGGAGTTATTTTCAAAAATCCTCACATATGTTTGACTTTAAAATTTCAAGGTAAAGTTAATAAATTTAATTAAGGTAACTTGGGATTTCTATAAAACCTTTTGGAAAAAAAAATCAAAACTCTTAACTAATTTTAATCACATGTTTTAATCCATGATCTTATGAATAACGCCGGAGGGAGTAGATTGTTGTTATTGGGTTATCTAGTGGTACAACTAAATGCTTATATCAAATTCATTTTTAACTAATATCCACACCAATCAAACTATCTATTTTTCCTTTCCAAATAATGCCTTTAATTAAATACAGTTAAATCTTATACTTTTCCAAATATAAATACATTCCATTAATTACTCCTAATTTTTTCTTACTCATCAGGGGTGTTTTTGTAATAAAAGCATTAATTACCACTAAAATTCTACAAGATGACTTATATTCTAAGATAAAAAAAATATCTAGAACATGACACATTCTGCAACGGGAGGAGTTCTTTATTTGAAAGCAGTAAATTAAATACACTAATAGCATGCTCAACAATAAGATGCTCTCTCTGGTTCAAAATATAAGCATATTTGCCCAGTTAATCTTAACTCAAAAATATAAGCAACTAAATATATGTGAAAATTTTGTCCTGTCCATTTTATCAATTGTATTTATCAACCTAGATAAATTCTTTTATAAATTTATTCATCATTAAGTGCATTGGTTGGGATTGAGTGTAAAAATGAAAACATTATATATTTTTATAAGGTGGAGAGTTTTATTGATATGTGAGTTTTTTTTTAAAATTACTTATATTTTACATTGGAGAGAGTATGATATAGAAAGACTGGAATAAGGGTTTGGAAGTACTATTCATATATTGTAATAGCAACGTCATGAATTGTAGAGAGCTAATTCCTCGGTAAGATACGAAACCAAAGTTGGTAGGAAATTTTCACATCCATAATCCTAAATGATAAAAATGAACATAAAATTTACTTAAGTAATCATGTTAATTAGCACGTAGCGTATACGAAAATTGAAAAGAAGGTCAATTGTTTAATTAATTATTACCTGATGAATTAACGCCATCTGCAACAACTTGTACTGATGAGTGGCTAACAATGATGAATGAAACTAACGCATACAAACCCAGAATCCAGAGCAGTGTTGTGCTCTTCATGTTTTCAAGTTTATAGGAAAGACGAAAACGAGAGAAATGAGCTGCGTAGCTTAAATTATTGGTTTATGCTTTATAGTAGAGAATGATGGGTTGTTATAAATATTTCATAAAGAAGAATCACTGACAAGGGACACCAATTCAATGAATCTATACCTATATAAATTTGGGATATCTGGTGAGTAGTAAATGAACAGTATTACCAAAAATGTCTCCAGACATTCCAAATCTATATAGATTTGTCACCGTCGGATCTCCGTCGAACGTTTTTTTTTTTCTTTTTTTGATTTTTTGGATGGGTACGGTACATCCAACTTTTTCTTCTTCTTTTTTTTTTATATTTTTACTTGTTAATTTTTTTAATACGATATAGTAAATAAAAAATATGAGTGAGGTGTATATTTATAAATTTTAAAAATTTAAACAAGATGTAAAAAAAATAATAAGATTTTTTTATTTTGAAAGATCATATAGGATTTTATACTAGAAATTGATGATGAATATAAGATTTTTGGTATAAAAATAGTGTTAGATATACAAATTTTTTATATACTTCTTCCATGAAAAAATGTAAAATATTTTTTGAGAGATTGAATGTTCTAAAATATAATACATTTTTAGTCTTTTAAGATGTAATCATTATCTTTTTTTTCAAAAGTGCACCTATTGAATAAATCACTTTATATTTATTTTAGGATGAAACATCCTATTAAATAGGTATAAATATGAAAAAATAAAATTAGTTTGAAGATAAATAATCACTTTATTAGAGGTGGGATTATGGAGAGAGTATTTATTATTAATACAGGATAGCAAATCAAATTTGTATGAGCATATATTGAACAAGTTTTTGTTTATATTCTTCAAATGCATAAGAAATAAAAATATATTATTTTAATATTTATATATAAAAGTTAATTTTGATTTAAACATCTATAAAAAATATTGATATAGTTATGTGCCTCAAGTCTAAATGATAAAAATTATGGACTATAAATTAATTATATAATATTAATGAATTTATTTTTCATTACACACCTAATCATTTCTTAATAATCATTGTATCATTTGCAATGCTTGTAGTTATGATTGATAAATGATAGTGAAACATAGATTATATTATTTGTTTAATTTAGAACTATTATGATTATGATTTATAAATAATATTATCACATAAATTATAGTACGATTTATTATAGTATATGATTTATTTTTCTTAAGATGATACATGTGACAGTACATTTTGAAAAAGAACAAGTTAGCTTATATTTTAAATTGCAGGATTTAAAAAAATTTAAAGATAATGTTCCTTAAATTTTAACTTACATGAGATAATACATTCTAAATAAAATAAGTTATTATTTATATTTTTAATATGTATGAATATGACAAATTTTAAAATAAAAATATTCTTTAGATTTTAATGTGCACAAATTAATAAATTATGGAGTAAAATATGCTAGCATTCCTTTTATTTTGTTAGAATTGTAATTTTTTATTTTTAAAACTTACACTTTAGTCTCATTAATCAAGATTATAAAATTTAAATAAACATAAGCATAAATTATATTATTAACTAATTTATCTCTTATTCATTAACTTTTTTTCCTGTAGATATGTGTTTGAAATATTATTTTAATAAATTTATTTCCTTCATTAAGAATTTTTTAAGGGATTATTTTTCAAGAGTTGAATGTTAAAAAATATAAGCATTTTTAGTATTTAAAGGTGTAATCATTAACTTTTTTTTAAAATTCATGTAATGAATATATTATTTTATATTTTTTTAGAGTGAAAGACCTAATTAAATAGTAAATATGAAAAGAGGGTGTTATTTTAAAAACAAGTAACTATTTTATTATAAATGAGATTCTGTTAAAAATGCTTTACATTTTTTAAAAGATAGAGTATGTATTTAATTTTTTTTAAAAATACTAAATAAATTTGTTTGTATGATTAATAAACTTAAAATAAAAATAAAAATTTTAAAAAAATATATCAAGAATAATAACTTTCAATTAATGATTAGATGGGTGAAAATAAAATTTAAAAATAAAAAGTATATTTATATTTTGTAACTCTTAACTATTAATTTTAAGAGGAATTCATATAAATTTTAAAAATAAAAAATATTTATAATTAAGATAAAATAAAAAAAACAATATATTTTACTTTAAGCATATTAAAATAATTTTTTAATATTTATATTTATATTTATTATCAAAAACTAAAATATCCTCGTGCGGGGCATAAATCTAGTTTGAATGCTAAAGCGGCTTTAATTTATTGCAGTGAGATGGATGAGTTGCGATCCCTTCAAGTACGTGATATTTTTTTAAGAAAAAAATTATTGATTTCGTTTAATTTTCCTTTTTACTTTTTAAATTAAATGGTCCTTATTATTATATTTTTGTAAAAACTTAAAAATGAAGGCACACATTTCATTTGTTTCACAATATACACCATTCAATTCTTACTATAGGATATTTTTAATATTTTCGCACATGTTAAAAAATTTCTTATATTTATAAAAATAAAAAATTTAAGTATTTTAGTTTTTATCATAATTAGATAGTAGTTAAATCTACTTTTCTTTTCATAATTCTCGAGAAAATTCATTAATAAAATTTAAAATAAAAATATTCAACCATTAATAAAGTATTACATTACTTCTTATTAAAAAAAAAAAAAGCTTCTAGTATGCTCTTATTATCAAAACATGAGGGGTAAGTCTTTTTGAGAATCTGGCCAAAAAAAAAAAGTCTTTTTGAGAATATATAAAAGTATTGGCTGCTAATTTGACCCTCATTTAAAATTGTTAAAGGGTAACACAGGAAAATATTCATAAATGTTGTTTTGAATTCTAGATGACTTATATTCTAAGATAAAAAAATCATCTAAAACATGACACACATTTAAAATTGTTAATTGGCGTGGACATCAGTGCGTGGTTCTAAACTTTGTTCCTTTTTAGGTGCTTGCATACTCTCTGCACTATTTTCTGTTTTGGGAGCTAGCCTAAGGAGGCATGAGCCCAAACATAAGTTTGAAGCAGCTCCAAGTTGATATGAATTGTTTCAATCAATCCTGGTGGGACCTAAAATGCCTGGACCTGTTAGCCTCCAACCATTAAAGCCTCGACCTGTTATAAATGGATCAAGACTTTTATCGTGAGGCCTGAGAGCAGCTCAATAACAGCTTGCCTTGTCGATTTATCATTATCATTTTGAGCTGCGCCAGTCGGCTGCAACAATACATTAGATTGCCGTCAATTTTTTACTTATGTATGATAAACAGGGATCCTTTTTTGGTGATTAAATGAATCAAGTATAGTTCTACATCAGACGCAATAAGTTTACGAAGTTACGTGTATTTTAAGCTTTCCTCGTCGATATTGACCTGTAGATCTGCTAATGGGAGCAGAAGGCAATTATATCGGTGGCTTAATAGTACCTAAGGACAAAGAGAAGCACATGCACTTCCAAACCCTATTCGACTTACATCCCAATCAAAGGTAATTCTCATGGAATGCTCCTTCCGATCACTTCCTTAATTCCTCTACAGGATAACAAATTAAATTTGTGTGAACATATATAGAACAAGTTTTTATTTATATTCTTCAAATGCACGAGAAATAAAAATTTATTATTTTATTATTTATATGTATAAGTTGATTATGATTCAAACACCTATGAAAAATATTGATGTAGTTATGTGTCTCAAGTCTAAACAATCAAAATTATGGACTACAAATTAATTATATAATATTAATTCATAATATAAATGAATTTGTTTTTCATTGCACACCTAATCTTTTGTTAATAATCATTGTATCATTTGCAATGCTTATAGGTATAATTGATAAATGGTAGTAAAACATAGATTATATTATTTGCTTAATTTAGAACTATTATGATTATGATTTATAAATAATATTATTACATAAATTGTAGTATGATTTATTATAGTATATGATTTATTTTCCTTATGATGATACACGTGACAGTATATTTTGAAAAAGAACAAGTTAGATTATGTTTTTAAATTGCAAATGTGAAAAAATTTAAAAATAATGTTCTTTAAATTTTAACTTACATGGGATAATACATTTTGAAATAAAATAAGTTATTATTTATATTTTTAATATGTATGAATATAAAAAATTTTAAAATAAAAATATTCTTTAGATTTTAATATGCACAAATTAATAAATTATAGAGTAAAATATGCTAGCATTCTTTTTATTTTATTAGAATTGTAAAGACTTCTTCTTTATTTTTAAAACTTACACTTTAGTCTCATTAATCAAGATTATAAAATTTAAATAAACATAAGAATAAATTATACTATTAACTAATTTATCTCTTATTTTTTTAAATTTTTTTTCTGTAGATTTGTGTTTGAATTATTATTTTAATAAATTTGTTCCCTTCATTAAGAATTTTTTAAGGGATTATTTTTTAAGAGTTAGATATTAAAAATATAAAAATTTTTAGTATTTAAAGGTGTAATCATTGATTTTTTTTAAATTCATGTAATGAATAAATTATTTTATACTTATTTTAAAGTGAAACACCTAATTAAATAGTAAATATGAAAAGAGAGTATTATTTTAAAGATAAGTAATTATTTTATTGTAAATGAGGTTTTGTTAAAAATACCCTACATTTTTTAAAAAATAGAGTATGTATTTAATTTTTTAAAAATACTAAATAAATTAGTGTGTATGATTAATAAATTTAAAATATAAATAAAAATTTTAAAAATATATCAAGAATAGTAACCGTCAGTTAATGATTAGATGAGTCAAAATGAAAACTTAAAAAAAAAGTATATTCATATTTTGTAACTCTTAACTATTAATTTTAAGAGGAATTCATATAAATTCTAAAAATAAAAAATATTTATAATTAAGATAAAATAAAAAATAATATATTTTAGTTTAAGCATATTCAAATAATTTTTTAATATTTATATTTATATTTATTATCAAAAACTAGAATATCCTCTTGCGGGGCATAAATCTAGTTTGAATACTAAAGCGGCTTTAATTTATTGCAGTGAGATGTATGAGTTGGGATCCCTTCAAGTACGTGATATTTT